ACTTCTTCCATTGATATCGTGGCAGACATTGCCCTGCCATACAATGTTCTTGCCTCTGTCAAATCTGTCTCTTCAGTATTTTTTTGTATAGCGTTGGTGGGATCATCAAAACCCTCTGTCTTTCCTTTGGGGTCTGTGCTGCCACTGTCTCCTTGGTCGGTAGGGGCACATTGTAAGCATGAGCAATAAGAATGGTGTTCAGTGCAGCGTCTACCAGCATATGTCCACGCACTGCTCGAGACACGGTCTTACCAGTGAGCATGTGGCTTACGGAGTTACTAGCGTACGTAAGCTTAAGGACTTCTTGAAGTCCCGACCCTGCCATCAGATGACCAATGCTACCAAGGTAGCTCATCTCGGTGTGGAACCCCCCCAGCCGCAGGACTATGTGCTGTAGGAAATGGTCACCTGGCCGTGACCGTATTATTGTCAGTGCTTTCCAGAACAGAGGCTGGTCAAATGTGATAACCGGCGTAACGTTATTCTGCATTGCCTGAGATGAAACGAATTTCAGCATAGAGTAGATGCAAGAGTGGTCTGTAGGATCAAGATCAATCATGGGCAGAAACATCACAGATGAGTGTCCTGGATATGGACCGTGCTGTAACATCTGCATCATCCCAGACCACGATGGCCTATGAGAGCCTAACAGGAGAGACGTCTTCTACAATATATCGAGATGAGAAGTTGCATCCACCCTTGAAATATCCCCAAGTGGCCGATACATTAGAGGTAGAATTTTAGGTTGCATCTTGATGTACTCAATGTTTATGCGTCCAACTTCAGCAATGTCTGCAGTCGTCACACATACTTTAGAAATCGGCTCACTGGGTGATTTTCTATGTGGCGTAGTGGTAGCTATTATGCCCATCCCGTGGAATGTTTTTTCTAATTCAATACTGGCATTTTGCATTTTAAAGTCTCCTAATACAAAGATCCTAATACTAACTCTAATTCTAATTTCTTACTATATGACAATTGATAATAATGAGATAAATATGTACGTAGTATTTGTTATTTTAGTCTAACAAATTAACCATTTGGCAATCCGAATAAGAAATCCTCATGCAAGATAAACATTTATACATATAATTAAATAGCGGCCATATTGGATTTATGCAAATTAGGGCAGCCATATTGCATTTTCGCATGATAGGGAGTGATCCATTTTTATTCTAATATAGGTAAATGCATTCTCCATGCCAACAATCATCATAATAGTAAAGTATACCAAGTTTGGTAGCGCTAGGTCAATTAGGGGTCGAGTTATAAAGCGGAAGGGAAATTGTCTGCGGCGGCGGCGGAGGCTGGGGAAACATGAAACCATAGTATCCCCGCGACGAATACAATTAATACGATATCATCCAAGATCTAAAGCCTAGATGGACACATTAATATACTATGAATCACTCACGATTCAGTGCTTACTCGCATTAGAACACTCATCAGCCCCTTACATTAGGGTTTTTTGCAATAAGCACAGCTGTGGCCAATATTAGAGTGTACGTCACCACAGCAAACATCAACATCGCACATTAGAATCTTGAATCTTACCCAATGTACATGCCACATCCAACATAGATCGGATGGTTGATCTCATCACAAATCACAAACGCGTTCATGATTAGCTGTAAACATAAAAAAACATTCAGATGAATGTAGCTCAAACACTAATAAACACAAAAAATAAAGTAAAAAATATGAAGGAACAAGTGGCGCCACCACAGAGAAAATCGGAGTACTACTGCCACCGCGCCAGCATTGAGCAGACGGGTGCCTAGAGGGCACCAGCTTACCTTGCCGTATATATTGAGAATATCGTCGTCGCTTGGCGTGTCTTTACCCATGAAGCGTCGCGTCTCGAATAGAATTGTTGCCACCTTCTTCTTCATGTCTGGATCCTGCTTGATCAGCTCTCTATCTATGAGGAAGAAACTCAACGATCACTAGATGGCAGCACTAACGGTCCTTTTTTTGTTTGCGTAAATATCTGACAGCTTATTTTAGACAAGCTTTCTTCTAGCTTCCCACAAGGATGCTATCTTACATTTACGATTGATTGATCGATCGATATTTATGATTGATCGATATTTACGATCGACTCTAGGCATTACTGGCAGGCCTCATTTTAGTTTAGTCTGACATTTGCTGCAAACCTTTTAGGGAATAGGTTTTCTCCTAGGTTCACACATGCATGCGATCATATCGCACTTACGTGAAATAACGTGATGGATGGTTCTCTCAGGATAGTCATCAAACTGGTTCCACTCCTCAGCCTCTATGACACCTCTCTGCAACACAGGTAACCACGGTCAGGTGAAACACATTAATCACGAGTAATCACGGCCAGGTAAGACACAAGAGTAATCACAGGTAATCACAGACAGTTAAGACACACACTAATCACAAGTAACCACAGACACTAATAACAGGTGAACATATGCAAGAAAGACATACACTAATCAAAGATAACTATATACAGACAGTTAAGACACGTTAATAACAGGTGAACATATGCAGGTAAGACATACACTAACAGGGGTAAAAATTGACTTTTGAACAAGGGAGTCCAACGGACTCCCTGCCCTCAAAAAGAGGGAGTCCGTGGCAAAATGAGGGAGTCCGCAGTCTGAAGTTCAAAATTAAAGATAATAACAATAACGCATGTGCTTATTTTGAAGATTCATGCAGTTGCACGTCTGCCAAATTTTCTTTGGACATTTGCTGAAAAAATACGGTAATTCCAGGAGGCCGTGCTCTGGAATTAACTAGTTACTTAGTATGGCAGACTTTTCAGGGAGTGACACGGACTCCTGCATATGTCAAATCAGGGAGTCCGGCAGTAAATCAGGGAGTATTTGACTCGGGACTCCCATTAATTTTGCATTCTGCACTAATCGCAGACAACCAGAGGCAGGTAAGCAACAGTAATCACAGGTAACCACAGACAGGTGAGAGATACAAGGTGCCAGGTGAAATGAGCTGATCATACCTTGATTTTGTAGAGGATTCTAGAGATGAGTCTGGCTCTCTCTATAGGTATGACAGAAGCTATTCTCCTCAGATGATGGCATTCTTTCTTGTGATCAAGCCAGTCCTTCTGCTATAGGAGACACATATAGTACTATTGAAAATCTAGCTAGCTGCATACCATTAAGCAGGTAATACATATCACATCATTTATATTAGTCCTAATCTTTTTGTCCTCCCTAACTGATGTTACCTATTTCCCTTCATATTATTCTTATTTGTGTTCTTATTCCTATGGATTTTCCTCCAATGTAGATGGTTTCTATCCATTCTCTACCATCTCATCATACTTTGTTATTAACCCCTTGCCTCACTCCATTCAACCTTGAGCAGAGTCAATGAGATACCTGGCATGTTTTGTTGCAATAGCTGACAAACTTGCAGGAAACACAGCGTTTGAGCTGATCTGGTCTGAAAGACAATCACAGTCATAGTAGCATTAATAAGGTCTTACAATACATTATAAGGTCTTACAATAAAGCATTTCTGTTCTTCATGCATCCCAAAACATAGATGAGATGATATATACCCAAAACGTACATAAGTTCTTCTAAAACATCCCCCTAAATAAACTTTACCCAATCATACAACACCCTTTACACATGTTCATTTGCATATAGTGCCCTACATAATCTCTCCCAAGATATGCAGCTAGGCTGGGCTACCATTTCACATGAGACTATAGTGCTGCACGTGTGCCTCTCTGGCTGGCACCCCCTGAGTTATTTATATCTGAACCTACTCTCCTACTATCACTTGCCAGTGATCATAATGCTCCCAGTAGAAGCATTTATAAAAAATCTATACAACAAGGTTTCACACAGACAAGAAGAAAATTCTGTACTGTGTTCTAGTATATATCATAGAAGACAATCAAGATTCAATTTAAAGATAATCTCCCTGTATGTGCAGTGTTCGAGCTAACGCATGCAACAACATCGGGTTGAGAAGGATGTAGTGGTTGTATGGGAATTAATATATAACTACAACCCTGACCAACACTTACTAACCCTAACTGTAACTTAAATTGCTTGAACTTCCACAGCACTATAGTCTGTTTTTTTATGTTATGGGGAACGTACATGGTGAACTGACTCTGCAAGGGGGAGGGTAGACCGGTAACTTTGAGAACTCTCTATTACCTTAGTTCGAAACACTCGTCGCATCTCTTGCCTCGCTCCGAGTCGTAGAGAACGTGACAGAACGGTAGAGCTGTCATCAACACTGTGCCTTGCTTAGCCATCACTGCCAGCTAGTAGATTTCAGCTATATTACACCAGTGATATGCGTGAGACCACTATATCAGTATCACCTGTAAAGATCGAACAAATAACACTTTTCTGAAACTCCACTCCATTCAATTCACCCAAATCATAGAAATGAATTGAAAATGGGTTGATCTATCTGAGTATATCTATGACTTTTCACAGAAGTTAATTGTGCTCGTAACCACAGGGACTTGAGGCGAAAAAAAAAAAAAAGTGTTATATATATAATATATATATTATTATTTTACTTTACTTACTTACTCGTCGTCTCTACGTACTCGTAGTTACTATTATACTATATAGTACTACTATACTATACTATA